AAAATTAATCAATCGAAAAAAAAAGTTGACCGACACATATACATACGCACCACCCAATTCTTATGTATTTACATATCTAACACCTAAACTTTGCTTTTTTACATTTATACCGCTCAAATCTTTTAATTTACATAACAATACCACCATTTTAGCTTTTGAAAAGTGAGATACACCTTCTAACGCAAGTAAGATGGTATGCAAGTAAAAATTGAAGTTTAGGTGTTAGGTACGTAAATACATAGTAATTGAGTGGCATGTATGTAAATCTTCCATTATTCTATTAACCAATATGTTATACAATCCCTTCAAAATTTGTACAGAACCTAACCTGAGAGTAACGCTCCTGGTGCTTCAATTCGTCCAATTTTGGAATAAAAGAACCAAAAAACCAAAAATATGAAAACTAGTAGAAAAATTTTGCTTTATAATGCAGCTAGAACAACCGCCAAACAGAAGCTTAAAAACAGAATTTACCTTATTTCTTCTGGCATAGCGCAAAGCTTCAAGGTAGTATCCATCTTGTAGAAGAAGATTCACATAATCATGATGTAAAGAAAGTTGTCTAAGCATATCAATCCCCAACTTCCGTATTTGTAAATTCTGGCGACCTGAATCAAATAATTGCAAAGCAACTTCTTTGGAAGGCTCCAAAACCTGCACAAAACATAGTGGCGTTTAGACAATGCAAAAAAATATTAACCGTATGATTCCTCCAGCAACACAAATATACAAATTCATAAAATAATGCAAACACCCACACAAACAGACACAGCAGAATAATACTCCTAATATAACTACTGAAGAAGGACGATATAACAAATATAAAATAGCTGTAAGAAAAAGAAATAGCTCTCCTTTCTTTGCTACGAACTGTCATACTCATTCAGTGTCAACGTTAAAAAAGAAACAAATATAAGCAAGAGAGGCACACATAATATCTAATGATTCTCTGATAATTTTTTGGGCCTAATGTAAGGCATGCAACTAATAAATAAGGTTTGGATCACAAAAAATTTCAGGAAACATAAAAAACATGATATTACAAATTTGATCTCTAAGTCCGACAAACTTTTATTATTCATTGTACAAGCCAGTTCAGTGCAAAAGGTACACCATAAAAATTCATAGCTTAGGCCATGAATAAAATCAGACAAGCAAATTCATGCAACACGCAGGGTCCGGCATCTAAAGATAACGCAACAATTACCAAACAGCTGCTGCAGAAAAAAGTAATAAACTGAATATTTAACAAAATGTAGTAAATATTTACCTTGTTTATTACCAATAATCCAACTTCAGCATAACGATTGCTACGTACCAATAACTGGATAGTCATAACATAAAGTTTTGGATGAACCTTTAGCTTTTCCTTGAATACACTGCAATTGGTTGAAGAAAAATAAATTGTAACAAGTAAAATTTGTCAAGATTGGCTTCAATTGCATTTTAAATTTGGAAATCATATTATACAGTTTCGAGATAACATTTAAGAAACTAATACCAATATCATTTAAGAAATACCAATATCAATTAGGCTAAAATATGTATCACCTATGTTTACATATAATCAAGCAGCATACCTTCTTAAAAACTCGATAATAATAGCAACAAAATATGCTGGATCTCCACTCATTTCATCCTCAACAATGGAAAAGACAGAATGGTACATTTCATCTGGCGAAATCGCAGGAGTCAAAAGCTGAGAATTTTGATTACTAAAATTGCCAGAATCAATCGAACTGTTTCTACTTTCGAATGTCTCAGTACGAGCTGATGATTCTTCCCTTTTCACTGCAGGTGTTTCAGCCCTATTTTCTTTAACGCTGCTATCACCAGACAAGGAAAGGTCATGGTGCTGAGTTGATGGGTTCCTTGATTCCAAGTCTGTATCAGCATCAGAACTGGAAACAGAACAAGTTTGGGCAGTGGATGCAGCAGATACTGCAGCAACATTGGAGTGTCCATCTGCTCTGCTTGAAGATTCCTTCGTGACATTATTTTCATTATTCTTATTCCCACAGATGGATTCCTCAAATAAAGAATCGGAAAATGTCCTTCTATCTCCACCATGCAAAGCACTTCCTGCTTTTACTACGTGAGAGTAAGCAGCTACAAGCACATCAATGGCACTCGATATGATTGAAACAGGCCTTCTTTCTAGAATAATCGATCGCATAATTGCTAGGCATAATAGCTTACTCTGAAAGAAGAAAATTTTAGTAAAAATCCTAATCAAGGGCAAGCAAATTTTAAAGTTATTTACAACAACCTACTATAAATTCTTACTTTCCTTGTATCGTACTTTCTCCATTGAAGGAACTCTAGAACAGAAGGTATGTCTGAAGTACTGGCAGCTATAGCCTAAGAACCAATTATGAGCATGTCACAAATTCACTGTACATCCCAGTCCGTGAAATATATAATGATAGAGATTCAAGGCACTTTAACTCACCTCCAAATCCAAGTAAATCTTCCATAATAGTCCATGATCAAGATCACAGATAAGATCTGGAACAAAAAAAGACCATCTCTCTGCATATAACATTGCACCATATGAACTTGCAAGGTTATCCCCAGCCTGCTTTCCATTAATAGAAACTCCCTTTAAAAGAAGGGGCAATGGAGCAGATATTGGAGCCAGAGAGTCCAAATACAAATCATAGATTATAACAACTTTTGCATCAACTTGATGGACTAGAAGTACGTTATCTACCACGCTGACAGCAATTCTGTTTGAGTGAGTTGGAATAGTTCCCTAAAATGCCATAAATTTGTGTAAGAAATCAGGTAAAAGAACTATTGGAAGAAAATTAAACAGAAAGAATATTCTATTTCAGTAATATCTTAAGTTTAAATATAGTTTTTTCTTCTCGGAGTTCGAAAGTGGTACCTGATGCACAACAGCATCACGATAAAACCTATATAAGTTTAATATCATCCCTGTCCTATCATGTTGCAGGCAGTAAATCCTCCCATAGCTGCAAAACGAGATAGTATACAATTGTGAAGAAACATGGAAGAAAATTAGAGAAAATTATATGCAAGTAAATAACAAGCTAATAATGTTGATTTAAATAACAAAACAAACATAGTAGCAATATGAACATCCTCAACAGCAAGCACAGGTTTCTGGTTTGCCTCAGTTTTGACCATAGTCATCTCAAATTTGGGTAATCGGACGATTCCTCCAGATGAAAACTGAAAAATATGATTAGAAACCACAAGTTATTGGAAATATGGCTTGAAAATAAATCTTAGAAAGTGGAAGATGTAATAGGAGATCTGAAACTTCCAGCTAATTGGAAAAGACTAGAATTAGGCCGGAAGACATAATTCAACTTTTCTAGCATAAGAAAACATTCTAAAAAAGAGGCAAGTAATTCATGCAAAAAAGCACTTACTATAAGAGAGATTGCATAAAGTGTAAATCCAATTGCCATGTATAAATAAATAATGTACGTATGCAAAATATGCAGATTACAGATTAACATTAGGAGTAAGGTACCCCTCCCCCGTGCATATTGAAAATTAAAGAGAAAAAAAAAAGAATGTATCATGAGACTCAATTTGTTAACTGGATGATTACCTTTAAAAATTTGTATCATGTGACTCAATCAAAAAGAAAGGAAAATTAAAGAGAAAAAAAAAAGAAATAATATGTTTTTAAAAATACATTCTATGCTGGATTTGGAATGGAAATACACTAGGGAGGGTCTCTATTTATATGTAAAATAAAGTACCATGTGGAGGCCACTAGAACAAAAAGGGCTTTAAATATAAATTGCTTATGATAAATTAATGCTCAGCGAGCCTCAACTCACTTTAATAATCATCGGATCCGCAATACAAATACAAGCGAACATAAAGAAAAATCAAAAGCTCAAAATGAAAATTAACAGCATTTGCTCCGATCATTGTGTCGAACACTCGATTTTACAAACAACAACAAGCCTTTATTGCACTAAATGGGGTCGACTACATGAATCCTTTTTCTCCATTGTGTCATATTAAGTGTCATATTTTCATTTAATTTTAATAAATTAAGATCATTTTTTATAAATGCCCAAGTGTTTTTAGGTATATCTCTATCTTTCTTAAAAGAAGTCAAATTTAAAACAACTACTCTCTTAACCAGATCATCAGATGGCCGATGTTTAATGTGACCAAATCATCTAAGACGACTCTCTCTAATCTTGTCTGCCATTGGAGCTACACCACCCCTTTCACAGACATATCCATTTTGCATTTTGTCTCTAATTGTAAAGCCACTCATCCGCCGTAGCATTCTCATCTCAACGACACTTAAATTAGTTTTAAGCTTCTTTTTTATAGGCCAACATTCTGTGCCACAAAGCATTGCAAGTCTCGTCACCATCTTACAAAACTTTCCTTTAAGTCTAAGTGGTACGTTTCTATTACACAATAGGCCCGATGCATTCCTCCACTTCAACCATCCAACTTGAATTCTAATAATAACCCCATCTATATCACCATCACATTGAACAATAGACCCGCGATATCTAAAATGTTCACTCCTTTCAATAACTTGATCACCCATTCTATGCCACTAGATCTAGTACTGAAATTGCATTCTATGTATTCCATTTTTTTTCAACCAAAATGAAAGTCAGTAGTCTGTAAAATTGCCCTCCACAATTCAAGTTTTTTTCTCAAACACTTTCTAATTTTATCCATAAGAAGGATATCATCAATGAAAAGCACACACCAAGGTACATCCTCCTATCAATGTTCAGTAAGAACATCCATAACTAAAGCAAAAGGATATGAGCTTAAAGCCGACCTTTGGTGTAATCCAACTAAAAAATAAAATACTTAGTAAATCCTCCTTCCATTCGAACACAACTATTAATTCTAGTATACATAGCTTTAATAACTTGAATACAAGTCATATCAACATCTTTCTATTATAGAAATCTCCAAAGAACTTCTCTTGTAATCTTATCATAAGCTTTTTGCATATTAACAAAAATCAAGTGTAGATCCTCGTTAATATTTTTGAACTTCTCCATCAAACTTCTCAATAAATGTACAACTTCCATAATGGATTTTTTTTACCATAAATCTAAACTGATTTTGAAAAATCTTTGTATCCAATCTTAACATATGTGTAGTTACTCTCTCCCATAATTGTAATCTATAACACATTAACTTAATTCCTCTATAATTTGTACACTTTTGTGCATCCCATTTATTCTTAAAATTAAAGACCAAAATACTCATCCTCTACTCCTCAGGCATCTTTAAAGTTTTTAAAATAACCTTAAAAAATTTATTAAGCCAAAAAATTCTGAAATCTCATCAACATTTTCACACTTCTATTAGAATACAATCATGTCCTGCTGATTTTCCACCCTTTATTTTCATTAAAGTCTCTTCAATTTTTGTTTTATTAAAGCAAAAAAAAACTATTATTAATGATATTAAAATCACTAAATTCGATCGTAATTTTGAAATCTTCAGTGAAAAATTTATCAAAATATAACATCTAACAAAAACACTTTTTTATTTTCATCCTTAATACGCTTGAACCAAATCTTTACTTTTCATCTCTTTATTTGGATAGTATATACATATTATTTCATTATTTTTAGTATTTAATCTAATATAAAAATCCCTAAAAGCAAAATTCTTAGCATCACAAATTATTCTCTAAAACTCTCTAAAGGGTCACCTTAACTTCTTTTTCCAATTCTCTAAACGTTTACATTAAAATCAATTTTAGTATCTAATCTATTATACAAATTATTAAAAGTTTAATTCTTCGCATCACAAATTATTCTCTTAAACTTCCTACGGGTTATCTCATATTTTTTGTATACATATCTTTAATAACTTAACTAGAAGTCATATCAACATCTTTATTTTCTAGAAATCTCCAAAGAACTTGTCTTGTAATCTTATCATAAGCTTTTTCCATATCAACAAAAATCATGTGTAGATCCTCGTTAATAATTTTGTAATTCTCCATCAAACCTCTCAATAAACATATAGCTTCCATGATAGATTTGTCTGTCATAAATCTAAATTGATTTTGAGAAATCATTGTATCACATCTTAACATATGTGTAGTCACTATCTTCCATAGTTTTAATGTACGACACATTAGCTTAATTCCTCTATAATTTGCACACTTTTGTGCATCTCATTTACTCTTATAAATAGAAACAAAAATACTCTCCCTCTACTCCTCCAGCATCTTTTTAGCTTTTAAAATAACCTTAAAAAATTTATTAAGCCAATAAATTCTGAAATCTCCTCAACATTTCCACACTTCTCTTAAAATACAATCAGGTCCTACTGATTTTCCACCATTTATTTCCTTTAAAGTCTCTTCAATTTATGTTTTACTAATGCAAAAAAAATTTTAAAAAATTTAGTATTAATAATGATATTAAAATCACTAAAGTCGGTTTTATTTTCAAAATCTTCATTGAAAAATTTATTATAACATACCATCTAACAAAAGTGCCTTTTTATTTTCATCCTTAATACACTTGAACCAAATCTTTACTTTTTTTATCTATTTATTTGGCTAGTATATAAATATTGTTTCACCATTTTTAATATCTAATCTATTATAAAGATCACTAAAAGTGAAATTCTTAACATCACATATTATTCTCTAATACTCCATAAGAGATCACCTTATATTTTTTTCCGGTTCTCTAAACTTTTACATTAAAATCAATTTAGTATCTAATCTATTATAAAAATTACTAAAAGTTGAATTCTTAGCATAAAAAATTATTCTCTTAAAGTCTCTATGGGTCACCTTATATTTTATTCAATTCTCTAAACCTTTTACATTTAAATCAATTTTTATAATAATTTTTTTTATATTTTATATTTTATTACATATTATTATTTCATCACCAGTTATTTTTATTAATAGGAGTTTTTCTTTTTAATTCTCCAAGTACATATTTTACAACTTGTTTAATAGTGTTTGTTATTTTATCCCACATATTATTAGTTTATTTATGAACAACCAAAATCATAAGATCTTGAAGTTGACTAGTAAAAATAATTTTACTTGTCTTTTAAATGCCAAGATCTAATCCTATGATAGTATTTGTTGTATTTTTTAACTTCACCTCTTTATTTTAAAATCCAAAACTAAATCAATGTTGATAATTTTTTTAATTAAAATGATCTTATGATTTTATAATCTCTACAATCTTTTTTTCTTATAAAAAAATAAATGATTTGTGTTTTATTAGATCTATTTTTAAATTATAATATCCTCTTCTTTTTTTCTTAAATAAAGTATTAACAATAAAAAAATTCATGAACTAAAATAAAATTCAATATGACTCTATCTTCTTCATTAGTCATTTTAAAATCATAGTCCTCAAGAATATTTCTAAGATCTACTATCACTTTACTATCATGTTTATTTAAATCTCCTCAAAAAAAAAAAATTTCATGAACTCTAATATTATCCTCAATGTATAACTTTGAACGCCTGAAAATGTTGCACGGGTTAGTTCAAGCTTTAGATTAAAACAACTTACACCAAATATTATGCACACTTAGAGACTTAAATTGCATGAATGAGACGGTGGTTCGCTGGCTGGGTATTTCTCCAACACCGAAAAATCTCGAGCTCAAAGCATACTAACCAAAAATAAAAACTTAAATTGCTCGCATGTATTCCGACAATCATTCTCAATATTTAAATTTATACAACTAGAAAAATTGTGTGGGCTCAAATAATTTAATTTCAAGTCAAATCTGCGAGAAAAACAGTACAAATGCTTTCAATTTTATAAAATCTATTTCAAAAAATCAAACAAAAATCATATAGTTATGCTTGCTCTTTTTCTCAAGCAAATCAAATTATCTATATAGAACGAGGTCATAAATCAAATTCAATCATTACAATCTGATCCCGAGAAAATATAGTTGTGTAAAATTCAGAAAGTTGACTCCGCTTTACAACGGTGCCAAAAACTTGATGTGGTATTTTATGTTAAGCACTTAAAGTTGGGATTCAATGCAAGTATATGTATCGTTATCAAGTAATATAAGACTTTCTTTTTAAGTCCTAAATATTGATCCCACGGGGAAGGTTTAAATTTGAAATGATAAATTAACTAGGAAATTTACAGAAATCAAACGAAATTATTTTCATTAATTTCGAAAGTTTAAAATATTATCAAAGCTAAATTATTTAC